GCGCATTGAGTTGTTGGCCAGACCCAAAGCAAAGATGATGCTCACATATATAACCATATACACATATCCGTAGATATAAATATAGATATATACGCAGCTCGTGTGGGTGTTTGCAGATTTGTTTATAGCTTTGCATAAAAACAATGCCCCAAACCTGAGTCCCCAGCCTCAGTAGCTTGTGGCTTTCGTATTGGTACCATATCAATATCAGCATGGGAGAGGCTAACGAATTTCCGGAAATTTATTTCTAGAGGATTAAAGTTTTACTCGCATGCAAGTCGAATCCGTTGCGAAGTGCTTCCTACATTGGCTTTGAGGTCATTACTTGACTTCTTGTCCCAAAGTTTACCAACAACTTGAAGTCAGCTTAAAACTTAAAAGCAGCCCCTGCACACATTTATGGATAAGTGGTTCGTGTGTATGTGTGTGTGTGTGTGTTTAAAAGGAGTGTTTGCCACTGTAACTATGTCATTGCGGTTTCCTTAATTCATTTTGTTTGTAGGCGGAGCGACATTGTCACTGTCATCGTCATCCTCGTCGCCACCGTCATTGTTAGTGGAAACCGCAGTCCGCTGATTGCACAGACACAGCCAGCAAAACAGGCGGGGAATAAGGCAACGAACACAGAGAGAGACAAAAACATAGCCAGAGAAAGAGATAGAAACACAGCTGGAGGGGACACACTTGAAAAAAGTTGATACAAGTCCAAGCATAAATAGTTGTAATTTATAATAAAAGGAAATGCTTATTTACTTAGTAATATATCTAAATCACACATCAAATTAAAATTGTAGTTAATTGCCAGACTTGCAGCTTTAATTTCTAAGATCCCTAACACAGAATTAAGAATTTTAAAAGTAGAAAACTTTTTTCAAGTGCACAAAGTGTAGAGCCCGTTGAGAAGCCTTCTACAGCTGTTGTTCCCATCGTTGTTTTTAGTTGAATGGCAGCGCTAAGCGGATTAACGCTGTTATTTTAAGTTCAACAAACGAAACGAAGAATAAATTAATGAGTTTTCACTGTGGTCGAGCAGACGGCGTTCGGCCCACCAAATGGGTTTAACAACAGAAAGCCAAAAGCCCAAACACACACACACAGAGGGGGAAACTGTGAGGTCCTGGGAGGTCTTCTTTCCATATCGAAATGTGGGTCCACCGACCGACCCACCAAGTCACAGCCATTAAGCGCACTCACCAAACACTGTAATTTGTACCCTGTCTAAAAGATATATCCGACTAAGTACCATATTTAGTTCTTAGTCTTGTTGAAGTTTTTCAGTTCCTAATTATTTGAAAATACTAATAAAAATTTCGCTAAGTACAACTAAAACTTTAAAATTCCTTTGCCATAAAGAGAATATAAAATATCCTTTACAAAATGCTCACCTGAATTCTCCTTCGAGCCAGTATGTGTGCAAGTCCTTCGTTTTTCGCTGTTTGTATTTGTTATTGTTATACTCTTGGTATTGATTGTTAAATTGTGTGTGGGTATGGCTATGTGCCGGACAGTGAAATTGTAATTAGTTCAAAATTTATGCGGACCCGCTTCCGCATTTTTTCCCACCGAGGATCACGTCCGTGCCGAGTTTTATTTTTTATGTTCGCGCTGTTAGCCACGTTCAGGCAATTATTATTTGTGTGTATGAGTATCTTTTTGTTTTCATTCTGTTTTGTTCCTTTTGCTTCTCGTTTTCCCTTCGTTTTATGAAAATTCTATGAATTTCCAATCCCAAATCGGATTATGGCATTAGCCGGACTCAGTGCGCTCGGAGAAAAAAAAACCTGGAATGGCAAGAGCAACCAAATAAAATAAAACTGAAGGTCGATGGAATACCGAATTGTGGCGGCAAAGCACCGACAATGACTCGAACTTTTATCATAATGATATGCTGTTAAGCCGGCAACGAAAAGATACACAAAGCCATTTTAACCCAGTTCGGTGTCAAGTTCGTGTCCGTAAAAATCGAGAAAGAGTTGCATAATTGAGCTGCGATGCAATTAAGCAGTTTCCGACAAGCTGCCATCCAATAATTCTACCCAGAACCAGACTGTCCTCCTTTTGCAGCCCCTCCACGAACCCCACTTTGCACCGTACAGAGTCCTGGCAGGACTTGCATCCGCCAGTGCATCCGCTGCGAGCTTTGACGAGCACAGCCAAGCGGATAATGGAAAGCGCTTCAAGTCCTTCTCCGCCTTTGATGGCTCCTGACTTTGAGCTGCGACCGGCTCTTAGAGCCAAGTTGCCCTGACGTTTTTGTATCGCATTGCAGAATTTGCCACAAAATTGCTGGTAATTAGCAAAAGTTCTCAATGCCTTTGATTGATTCGAGAAGTCCTTGTCGGTTGGCAAGCAAAATTGATAATTATGGGATTAAATAGCGAGACTTTGGGTTTAGTGATAGTAGAGTAAAAGTTTGTAAATCAACCGTAGAGTTTATAATCATTTGGCTAGATTAACTTATATATGATTAATTAAAAATATAAGCAATTAAATCTATCAAGCAATCAAATATATTTCACCAACAGTTTTAAAGTTCAAGGCTCCAAAAACAGGTTCAGTTTACCTTTACATTTCAAAGTGCTATCTTCTCTTCGAGGTTCTCCGAAAAAAAAAAAAACTTGAACACAAAACACACATTTTCCCCTCCTGCCCTGGAGATAATTGACAAACGCTTTGCCCTTTAACGAGTTTTGTTTGTGTTTCCCTTCTCAATTTGCCACAAAGTAGTTGCCACCGCCCGGAAGATGATACGGTGGGCGGGGTGGCATGTGGGAGGTGAAATTTACTTTAACGAACTCAAATTCCGTGAAGCTTTTGAGTTGGGCAGAAATTAACTCACTCGCTTACACTGTCCACAGAAAGTCAAAGCCAAAAGCCGGTGCAGAGATGCAGCAAAAAAATGCCTGGCTTTGATTCCTTAGCCTCCTGGAATCTCCTCTTCCTGGACTCTCCTGCTCCTGCTGCGTCCCTTCCTTTCGATTCGTTTTTGTTTCTCCTGTTTTATCTTCGTCTCCTTTCAGGGCATTCATTATGCCCCGCCCTTTGGCCCCTCGATTCGCCTTCATTTATCACAGTTTGTGCGCATTTGTCGAGCTGCCTTATCCCGAGTGGGTAACCCGGCATCCGCTGCCACTTTGACAGCCCCGAGATCCCCGGGGAGGGGCCGGCCTGAGACACAACGGAGAATTCCCCGGGAACGGGAACGAGAATGAAAACAGGAACGGGACTGAGTTGAGCCAAGTTGTCAAAGAGAAAGCTTGGCGGAAAAATGTCTTTTAATTAGTGTTTAATTGAATTGCAAACTGGAATTTTAATCGAAAATTGCACTGAGCTCGACTGTTCCGCCCCGTTTGCTACCAAAGTTTGCATTGTCCACTGAGCTAAATGGTCTGTTTACTTAGCCAACTCGGTTTGTCTGGCCTTGGCCATTGATAGCCCAAAAGTCACTTGTCGCCATCGCCGAAGATTGTCAACGTACTGCCGTTGTTGAGTGGGTGAGTTTTTCTTTAATGTGTCCTTAGAAATCGATCTCAGTTGTAAGTATAGTTTAAGTAGAGATATTAAGTAAGTATAATTTAAGTAGAGATATTAGTTCACTGTTAAAGTGATTTTCTTTAACATTCGAATACCTTTTACATTCAAAATTAATTGCTCTACATTGAGGTTGAGCTCTCCTTTAAAATTGAGAGTTAATAGCTGGATACCACATGACCAGCCGCCTTAATTGATTATAATTACATACATGTACTAATGCAATTCATCAGACGCGCATTGTCCCCGGATCCGCAGGCCCCTCGATTCCGTTCCCAGGACCTGCGGCAGGTCGGCTTTGACGACAATAATGAGCATAATGATGCTGCCAGGCTGCAGGCCATGCGGACGGTATTGGAATGGCGCCGTTAATGCCACAATAAAGACCGCAGCATGGATGCCGATAGCCTGGGGAGCGCTAACTCCGGCTCCGGCTCCGGCTTCGTCTCTGGCTCAGGCTCACGTACAAATTGCATGATTACTATCAAGGATAATTAATGTTGATGCCAGCGAGACTCAAACATGTTGGCCGACGGCAGACTGCTCAACAAAGGGCCAGCTCAGGACTCTGAGTCCCTGGGCCACATGCCCAAGTGCGTTGATATGGGGCTAGGAGCTTGGCAGTTGTCAACTGCAGCAAGTTGATCCAGTTAACCCATCTCCAACTTTAAACGAAACATTAAAACTTGCTCTAACTGGGCTTTGATGTGGAGAGCACGCAGTCTGATTCCCAGGGGGCTTCGAAGCGAGAAGAAGTGCATAAAACTAATTTAACTAAAGCTACCGCTGGCTGTCAGTCATGGAAATCAATTCGCATCACATAATGCCACTGCATAAATGCCAAATCATGGGAAATACGTGTCCTAAATACTGGCAAATTCCAATTGAATCGGGCAAATTAACAGATATGACTGAGCCCGATGACGGTGGGGAGAAATGCGAAAGAGCGCCGCACACAATTCTCAAATTGTTTGGCTTGAATGCCGCACCAAACCATACGTAATGTAATCAAACGTATTGAAGTTAATGAGCTACTTAACCGACTTCCACTTCCGACCCGCCACTGAATCCCATCCACAATGTGGATATGTGGTATGTGCGGCTGTCGGAGAGCGTATAATTACGGGATGTCTGGAATTGGGTCGAGGGCCCTACGCCGGCCACAAATGCCCGCAGCTAAGGTGAGCTTAGGATTTGATTAACCATCATCACTTTTAACTAATTAAAACAAACAAACTTAAAATATCTCCGCTCTTTTGCGGGTCTTCTCAACTATAAAACGAATACTCATTCTTATAGCAAATGTATTTAATGTTTTTTAAAGAATTGGGAATTTGTATCCTTAAAGTTGATTTTAACCTAGGTCATGTCCGAAAAGTACACGAACCAAAAGCTTACGTTCTGAAGTTTATTATCCTTTTTATTTTATTCAATTTTTTTTAATTTATAAATGCTTAATGCATAAATTTACAAATATTTGTATAAAGTGATATTAAGGTCGCAACGTTCAACTATATGGGTTAAGTCTATAACTTCAGAATGGAATCAAAGTTGACGACGTGAGCCATTAGCTCCAAGTCATACTTAGACGGAAAAACCCATCCCAAGAATTCGATCAAAGTTGGCTGTTTGGTTACAACGGTGGAGTAGTCGTCGAAAGAAATGAATCCATCCTTGTCCAGGTCGAATTTCTTCATGAGAAACTCAATCATGTCCTGTAGGAAAATTGGAATTAAGCCAGATTAAAATTCAAAATCCTATGGTTTCGCTTACCGCCTTGAGCTCATTTATTTCATCTTCATCATCGCCTTCAAAGAACTTGTCGCAGGCAACGCCAACTTGCTCGCGATCAATGACTCCGGTGCCCTTAGTGTCGTATACCTATTGAATAGATCGTAGGATATCCGATTCGATGCCTATTAAACTATTTCCACTCACTTCAAAGGCAAAGCGCATGCGCACATTGATGTCATCCGTTGTATAGAGATCGAAAAGCTGAACCCAGGACTGGGGACCCACAAACGTGAAGTCCTTTGTGAGGGCCAACATACTACGCTCGATGACCTGGATATCGGACACGCCAAAGAAGACCAGGTATATCGTATAGAACTGTCTCTTCTGCATCAGTTTGGCCGAGGGTCCTAGCAACTTTACGAACTTGTAATAAACGAGTACCAGACATGTGATATCCGCGAGCGACATATTGGAATTGCCTGCTATCTCCTTGATTAAGCTGCTATAACGGGCGACAAAACGACTGTTCTCCATGTTGCTGAGGGTCAAATCAAGATGTTCCATTGTTCTATTTCTTTTTTCTCTACTTCTGGAGAGTCCTTTAGGTATATTAAGATGTTTAACGTTCAGTCTGCAATAACTGAAACCTTTTTATTCCAAATTATAAAGGTTAGATTGTTTTTAATGTTCAATATTGTAATGTGGCTTTGACCAGTTGGGGATATATAATATAAGATATTTCTCTGAGCCTACTTTACTTTGATTGCAAATATATAGTTACCTAAACTGAAAAAATCATGAATAAAATGTACAAGATTTTTGTAAATTTTTCTTAAAATTGGGAGCGATTTTAATTAAATTATTCCAAATACTTCTTCGCCGCAATTCGTCTTGCTTAACAAATTTCTGTCGTAAGTCTCTTGCAAATACGAAATGCAAAATGTATCAATCAAAACTCTATACCAAAATCCAGCCCAACTGGCTTGTAAATCCGCCAACACTTGGCGATGTCAACTTTGGAGACATTAAGGAGCATGAATCCTTGCCGTTCCTTTCCTTATGTATTTTCTTTTTTTTTTGCCTTCCTTGCCTTTCGTTTTATTGTTATTATGCCGTGTCGAGCGGTTGAGCCGCCTCCGCATTTCTTTGGTATTTGGGAGAGGGAGGGCGTGGCATGTGTGTGTGGCATACAATTACACAACAGTGGGAGGAGCAGGAGGAGATTCCGAACATTTGTTACCCCAAACAAAATGGCTACACAGCCATTTCCGCCGAATTTCCACATGGAAGGCTTTACACCCATCTCGGCGCTTTTGTTTGGATTATTATATTCGCGTTTCTCATGCGCACAGCTTTCAGTTTGAGCCATTCATTCTGCCCGTTCTGTTCTCTTCTGTGCTGTTCCAGCCTTTGTGTGCAGCCGGGTTTGTTTCAAATATTTATTCGAAATGGGGGACAGATGTAGTCCGTGTAGCGCTGCTGATGTATTTTTTATGTCGCGGCGTTGTTTTTATTGCTTTTAAATTGCGCTCGTTACATTCCCGAGGCGTCTGAAGTTCCCGCTTCCGACTCACCCAATCTATTTGCAATTTGTCTCGTGGAGCTCGGGTTTAAGTAGGCCTGTGCCCCACGTTAATCACTTTAGGCACCCCATTCGACTCACGAAACACTCGCCACACACTCGCAACACCCACGCCACACAAGCACAAACACTCAACACATTAACTTTAAAATAAAAAATATTATTTTTGTTATTTTAATTAAATAAGACTGCTACAATGAATCGCATTGACCTTACCATGGATGACATGGCCAACACCAAGTTCCTTACGCTGTACAGTAGCCTGATCAAGAACTTGACCACCGCCTCGGGCTTCTCCTCCAACGAGGTGCTCTGCCTGTTGATCGTGTTCTACAAGTATGCCCTCAATAACAACGCCCGGGTGATGTCCACGTACCAGCTGTACAACTTGTTCCTGGTCACCTTCGGGATCGTTGACGTGGCCATCATCGACCGCATTTCGATGAACATCACGCAGGACGGCCGATTCGTTACGCCAGAGTCATGGATGAGGCTGTTCTCCGTGTTTTTCACCGGAAATTTGCATGAACGAATGAAATTTGCATATAATGTGAGTACACCGCCATCTAGCAAATTTTTATTATTATTATTCTTTTTGTTATTAGGTGTATACCAGCGCTGGTACATTGGCATTAAATCGTGAGGTGGTCGGCTTGGCTATTGAAAAATTCTTCTATGGCGACGATGACGACGAGATCCTCGAACTCCGAGCGGTGAGTAGAGTATAACAAGAGTTGGAATCGTATAATCTGCTCTGATTCCGTGCAGGATATGTGCGAATTTCTATTTCGAAAATTCGACACGGATAAGGATGGCGTTATATGTTTTGACGAATACGCCGAAATTGTTCAAAGGCAGCCAGGACTATTGGAGTTTTTAGGTAAAGTCTTTCCCGATGAAAGTGACAAAACACTAGTCGCCTACTGTCATAACTTGGAGTCATGGTTCCCGCCCGGGAAAGATATTTAAATAAAATGGTATTCTTTGTAGGAAAACTCGCGTGAATTTTGAAATAATTTACATTTTTTAACCGGCTTAGAGAGTGTTGAACAAAATAGCACAAGTGTTGAAAATTGGCGCTTAGGGAGCTAAAAGCCGGCTTACAATAAAGTCATTTTCCATTAAGTACACACTGGGAAAAGTTGAAATTGCCTTCGCAGACTGTGAATGCCTCTGCGGGCTCTTCTGTTCTGTTCTGTTGCTCTCAGTTTTTTGGGCAGAAATCTGTGTCTTGTCTTCGTGTTCCACTACAACTCCTTCTGAATTGTTGAGGATGTTGCCAGGCTGCGAAGGCGGTACGGGCGGGCGGCAGCTTTCATTTTGTCTATTTTGCGGCTTTGTTCAGCAATTAAATTTGCGCAACACATGCGGGCACCGGCGGCAAACAAGGCAAACACACACAGACCCAGCGAAATTCTAATTAAGTTCCCGCAAAAATTATTATCCTGGAGGACGGAGATGAAAAACAATTGGATATCATACATTGGTTGGTAAAATGTTTGCATTTATGGTGCTGACATATTTTCATTTCCCTCAAACCAAATGAACATTGAGAAAATAGTTACATATCACAAAAATGATTATGTTATTCTGTTTAAACTGTATACAATTGTAGGTTTTTCTGTTTTTGCTATATGTTTTTAATATAGCATATTGTGGCAATCACTTTTTCAGACACACTGAAAAGAAAAGAAATTAACAATTGTAGTATTGTAGTATTGTAGTATTGTACTTCGATAATTATCGAAACCAAGACAAGCATTCTTACCTGAAGATTGCCACTGTTCCATTATAAAATTCTTTAAAGATGAAGCTCTGAATTTTCTTAGAGTTTGTTTATGTATAACATCAATACCAATTGCAATGCCCTTATTAATAATAATTATTTTATAAATTGTAACTTATGTAGTTCGTCAGTGTCCTGTGGTTTTCTAACTCTGACTTGCTAAGCCACAGATTTGTATCAATCTATCAATCTATACCCTGCGTGCAACGGGGCGTATGAGTAACAAAATCGAAAGTGGAAAACCAAAACTTGGCCCTTCAATTCAGTGGGGCAATCAGCGAGATGTGAGGATTTGGATTTGGTGACCCAGAGTCATTGACACGCCTCGTTTTCGGGGGCATTGGCTGGGCATTTAATTCAGCGCGTGACTTTCAGACCCAGACATTGGTGGCCAGCCCCCGTCCCTCGAAAGCTTGATTCGAAAAATGGAAAAAGGGATCTGAAAAGGCTCAGCAAAATGCATGAAAAGTGACCGCGGCATCCAGCTGGCAGCTCCCCCGCTTCTCTCTCGCTTTTTCTCCCCCTCACAGAGTTCAGAGTTCGTCACGACTTTGCCACTTTGCTGTAAAAGGGTCCTTGGTTTGTTGTCCCTTTTTTCAGCATTAACACGCGGCCTCCTGTTGCATTTCGGTTAAAATGCTGAGGACCCCAGCAGGAGGCGTCGCACCCTTGGGTCGGTTCCCGTTTTTTTCGCTCGCTTTCATGCCTCGAGTGTGTTCTCACCGAAAAACAATGCCATAGAGAAAAACGCAAAAGGGCAGCAACAAATTGGAGAAAAACAAACATGCTGCCCACATTTGTATTCCTGAACGATGTATCCTGCTGTTATCCTTTCGCGTTCGTCAGTCCATTTATCGCAGCCAAACTTTTGACTGGCAACAACGGTTTGGCTTCCTCCGCAATTCTCCTTACTTTTTTTCCATTTTTCAGCCTTTTTCGCCGACTGCAGTAAATCTTGTGGTGCAACCGGTTGGCATTTTTATGAAGTTATGCCACAAACTCGGCTGCATGCCACCCCACGTCCGCCTGCTCAGTGCATTAACACATGCCAGATGAAAATGTGCATTTTCCAAACGAAATGACCGCCACGAATGCTGGCTGGAATTGGCGAGAATTCGCGGAAAAAGGATACACTTTTTAGCATCGGAATGGCTGCTGTCACTCGGGCGTATACGTAACAAATGAGATTAACCACCGCTTTATTAAAGTCACAACCATTCACTTTGCCCTTTGAAGTGAATGCAGCTTTAAAAGCTTAATAAGCTGATTTGAAACCGGTTTCATAAAGAGTAAATAGGTTCCATAAAAGAGGTTCAAGCTTATGTTGTAATCTCAATTCTGGAGCGGAATTAAAATCCCCAACTTCGATCCCTTTCAGCGCATAAGGAACTGGCTTTGTATTCTATTTTACATTAGGCAATTGGAAATGAAAACAAACAATTCGAACAGAAAGATAAAAATCATAATGCAAACAAATTGCCTTTTTAGGATTCAAAGTGCCGACAGAGGCGAGGTCTAATGCGTTTATGCCTCGGGCAAATCTGCGCACTCAAAGGAAACGCAGATGAAAAGCCTGGGGAGTGGCAGGGTGCCAAATGCGCATTTTGCCTTTGCTTTTTACGATAACGATAACAATGATAATAATAATCCGATTCGCATAACATCAGGCAATGGAAAGGGCGGAGACGAGGCAGAAGCATCTTTCGACCTGGAATCGGTTTGATTGTCACATTGTCATCATTTGCATATTAAGTACAAGTGATTACACCCTGGCTCTCGGGAGAAGATACCCAGGTACGGATACAGGTGAGCACATGTCCTCGGCGGCACGATGATGTGTGCTGCATTGAAAATTTGGCATTTAGATCTAACCAAGCGGAGGGAATAAGAAAAACTCCGAGCACATTGCGCGCACGGCGCACAAAAGCCAGCAGCATCTACGAGATACATATGTATCTTTTGTTAACGAGCACGAATCGGAGCAAATGTAAATGTTTTCCAATGTGTTTTGGAAAAAGGAACAGATAGAGGGAAAGGGGGATTTGGGATCGGGATTCCAACACGTTTGACACAGCAGCCAGTAAAGAAATCAAATCAAATCGAATCGGCTTTCGGGTGAGAAAGGAAATCGGAAACGGAATCCATTTCAGGCACGTGAAGTCGTTTGATTATCCTGGTTTTTGTGCTAATGATAAAGCGGTACATCTTTAAGAAAACACAACTCTATTGTTGTGCTGAATTGTATAAACATAGTTCATAATCTCTCACGTGGCACTGGAGGGGAAAAACTCATTTGGAGCAACACAAGCCCCAATTAAGTATGACCAACTTCCACAAATGACTGTATAGCGCAGAACTCGAACTGGGGCTTCTATCCATACAGTTGAGGTTGAGGTATTAGAAATGAAAATGAACGATTATTTCCCCTTATTTTCTAAATAGAAAAGAGTCATAATTATTTAATATAAGCAAACATAAACTCCTTTAAATACCTTTGAAAATACATTAATTCGTTTTCTTGAATCAAAAACACTGAGGAGCAAAAATAAATATACTTAACTTCTTATAAGTACTTGATGCCATTTGTTTTCATTTTGCGAACGCAACTCAATTGCAATTATTTCCACCTCGACTGTTTGTACACAGTTTCGTTTTCTTTGTCTTCGGCCCGGAATTAAAACTAAGCACTTTGGAGCACACAACTGGCATAAACAAAAGTCAGACAATTGCGAGTGCAGCAGCAGGAGGAGGAGACAGGAGGGGGAAAGAAAAAGGAAAATGCAGGGGAGAACCGAATGCAGCAAATGCTGCAGACCGCCTTTGGCTGCAGAAAACTCTCGTACTTGAAAAATCGTAAAATTGAAATTATAATTGCCACTGCAACCGATCCGAGGCGCTTCGTCCGTGGCTGTCTGCCGGCAAAGATGCTCTAATTACGCTCCTAACTGGCTGGAATCATTAAAACGCTTGTCAAATAATAATTGCTCGCAAACAATTCATTTCAGCAGTGCCCTCGGGATTCCGGTATTTTCAAGTATCCGCTGAAGGCGGCAGCGACTCAGAACTCTTTGGAAAACTCCCAAGAGCTGGTACTCCTAACCGACTTCAGCTGGCAGGAGATGGCATGCCGGATGTTGTGACAGGGCCAAAAATATTTTCACATTTTCCCCCAGAGCCCGGCAGGGATAAAGTCCTGCGGCTCTCTTAGTAGTGCTCCAAATAGCACTATTTTTTTCTGTGATCCGAAATGGATTCGGTCAGTTATCCTACTTCGCTTTTGTGCGCTGACATTTTTGCTAAATATTCAAAAAGTTTGCCCGCTTTGGTCTCTCAATCTTTTTTATTTTTGTTGTCTGAATGTCAAGCGGATTTTTATACCATATCCTGCACACGGTACTTTTTGAGAGCACAAATCAGGCTGATGGCTTTTCGGTTTTCCGTTCGATAGTTTTGTCCGACAGAAGCACACGTTGCCAGGACACCTCGACAGTTGTTAGCCCCAGGTTTTGTTTCCCACCGCGTTACGCAGTGAAATCCACACAGAGTACGTAATGGAATGCGAATTTAATCTGTGACAGGAAAGCCCTGCTCAACTTTCAATGGTGGCTGTGAGCGAGGGCGACAAGCTCGACTTTAAATTCATGTAAATTTAGCCTTTGATGCTTTCTTTCTAAATTAATTGGGGAACAAGACCTGATTAAAAACGTAAAAAATGGGGTTTCAGTGAAATTCATTTGATAAAATCGTATTTAAAGAAATATCTTTCTTTAAAGTTTAATTTAAAGTTAATACAAGATTCCTGAATGGTCTTAATAACTTTTCTCCAGATATTGAAATGAGGGTTCTAATTCCAAATTAATTCTCCAAGATCTCAGCATGGAATGTTATTTTCTGTTAAGCTTTTAATGGCAAATCAAGCAAATATATATCCTTAAGTGCCTAAGTTGCACACTATCCATAAAATGAAGTTGTTTCGTGCAACAAATACTATTTTGTTGAGCCATTTTAACATGGTAATATCTTTTAGTAGACCGCCTCCTCATGTGCGGCCATTTATTTCACATTTTGGAGTTATCGGAAATGCAGCAACACTTCAGATTTCAAATTATTTTTAAGTACCCGAGGACTGTAAATTGCACAAAAGCCAATTCTCGGCATTAGGAAATTGTTTTGTAATGCAACCAATGTGTGTGTGTGTGTGTGTGTGTGTGTTGCGCAGCAACAGCGATAAGAAATCCCAAATAGACAA